TTGGCTTAGGCCCGCTTCTCTTTCGCTGATATGAATCCCATAAAACACTTTTTGAAGTTATAAGGTCCTCGAATTATTAGACATCGACGTCAGTGGCGTGGTCATGGAAAAAGCTGCACCATCAAAGCCCAGAGATGCAGCGCTGAAAAGGCTAACGCTAGCGGTGCTAGCTGGCCTGCTTTCCCCTGCCAAGAAATTTCCAGATGGAAAAAGCAGGCCTGAAACGTTACTATCAGGCAACTGGGAGCCTCAAGGAGCACCGCCGGTCGCACATATTGAAACCGTCACAGTACGGGCTCGGCGGTAATATTACTTAAGGATATCATGGTAGTCTTCCATGGTCACAGTGTCGCCAGCGAAGACTTTATCGCTGGCACTCAAGATTGGTCATTGAAGGGGGCAGGACCGCTCTGCCTTCTCCACCACAGCCTACTCCGGGCCGGTGAGATGTTTCCTGCACAGTCGGCGCACTGCTTGATCGAGCCGCGCGTACAGGATTCCAGTCATTCCACCGGATATCTCCACAAGGATCCGCACGATTATGATTTTTAACACATCTACGTGCAGGATGATACATGAAAAATAAACCCAATAAAATTGATATTACATTTGCTTCCTTTCATTTTCTGCTGGCATTGCAGAGACGGTTTCCGGTGGGTGTAACACCCACCCCCGCGTCTCCATGGAAACCTGCGTGCGCGGAGCGACGCATCTTCCTGAGTGCTTTTGGTTTGTTTATCTTAGCGCCTTTGGTCAACTACATTTACCATACAATCCATAAAATAATGCGCAAGACGGACGAACACTGCTCATTTGCTTGTTAGAGTCCAGAGGGCTGTACTACGAAGCAAGTTTGACATAGCCAGGTTTTCTTTGTGCAAGTCGGCTTGACAAAAACTGAAGGCCCAGCCAGAGATGACCGGTGTCATGAAGGTGGTTATCAACTTTCTTTGTTAACTCAGGCCTTCTGCTTCAGACTCTGTGCCCGTTCACATATAATGGGGCGTCTCACGTGTCATGTCACTCTTCTGCATTAAGTGAAACGATCTTGTGCAGCTGATTCAGTCAACAGGTGGTTTTAATGGAGAACAATGACAAACATAAAAATGCATGACGTTAAAAATTTTTTTTTTTTTTAAAGCGCCGCTACTGCAAGTGATGCGAGACAGGAATGCTGGTAGGAAACTGTTCAACTGTTGTATATATTTATTTTATCGATCAATGCAGCTGCTTATTTCTAACTGACAGCTTCACATTAAAGCTGTTGCACTTTAAATTTCATATATTTAAACATGATGTTGTATTGAAGTGCATTTTGGTCTGAAAAAAAATGTTTCCCACAATGAAGGATATCACTTATATTTTTGGCCAAATCAAAATAAAATTAATGTTATTGACTGAATATTCTATGTAATAAATACCAGTAGAATAATCAATTTTCTAATCTGTGTTTTATCAGCTGCAGTAGAAGCAGTAAAAACCGACCTGACAGCAAATCAGAGCCTCAAAGACATAATTATGTGATTTCTGCGTCGCCAAATATACATGTTGGGTTCCAATGGCAACACGATGTATACAGTGTGTGATACTGAAATTACACGGTTTTATTCAGTGATAGTAGCATTGCACAACTCAGCGTGTTTGCAGATAAAACACATTCCTTCAGCTGAGAATCTGTATCGCTCATAAATAAGTCAGGAGACCATTTGATTAAAGGGAGTCACTTCTTCTTCTTCCACTTAATCTCGGTTCTTAGTACAGCCCTCAGACCTGACACAAACTCTATGGACTCATTTTCCCATCATTGTCTCCAGTGATTTAAAAGAGAAGGTTGTATCCAGTGCAATTAAGTTGGTCATGGAGTTGTTTTAATCCAGCGTTCATTCACAAGACATCATCATTGCAAACACAGAGGAGAACACACTGCTGGACCTCATTTTCATCTTGCAAAAGCAGCAGTGTCTGGTGTGATGGAAACCTATTGCAACTTACCTATTTACAATCCTGTATTCTATGTAATGTCCTTCAATAGTCCATTAAGGAGTCAGTTGACTTGTAAGTATAACAAAAATTAGAAAGGATTTGTGAATTAAATTAATATTTCCAGTGCAGAGATTAAGAAAATAGTTTATTAGAAAACACAGTTGTTTTTTGTTTGTTTTTGTTTTGTTTTTAATTTTAAAAAAGCATCACAGTAGAGTATAGCAAACATGCGAACTCCACACAGGAAGATCCCAGGTATCCTTAGTGGGACACAAACCAGGAATCTTCTAGCTGTGAGGCGACAGTGCTAACCACTGAGCCACGATGCAGCCCAAGAGGAATATTCCAGCATGATAACTGATCTAAACTTAACTGCTGAAATCACAAAATATTTTCTAAGTAAGAAAAATGTGACACACCCTGTGTCCCTGAACATCTGACTTGAAGCCAGTCTGCGGTATTTTAAAGAGAAGCAGAGTAACTATAAACCCCTCCAGCTAAGACCAGCCAAAAAAATAAAAATATATTCAAAGAATGGCAGAACAGAAATTTCTGCAATAATAGTATCCTCCAAAATAGAGAACCACAAGCCCAAAAACAAAGGAAAGTTGTTTAAATTGGTGCAACAGGAATGGACTGCTGTGACAGCAGAACAATGTCAGAAGCTGGTGGAGAGCATGCCAAGACGCATGGCTGCAGTCATCAAAAACAATCAAGTTACTAACTCCTGTGTGTGTCATGTGACTACAACAGACAGAAAAGAAAACATGGAATGTCTAAAAGCACTGTTTTTGGCAGTACAATGCCATAGCTATTGATGCAAAAACTTAAATGATTTTGGTTATTATCAAGAAAACTGTGGAAAATGGCTAGATATCAGGTCTTACATTAAACTCTTCTGAACTATTTTTATTGTTATCATTGTATTTGTCCAAACAAATGTACCTTAAGTTGTACCAGGTATTAAAATGAACAAGAAATTGAAAAAAACAAGGGTGGTCTAAAAATGTTTGCCATGACTGTATGTGAAACACCACAGAGAGTGTTCTGTATCATCATGGGGAGTTTCAAGCGACGAGACATAGCTTCCCCTGCGAGCTCAAACTTTACTTCAACTTTATGCAAATTTGGTTTGGGGAGCGGAGGTCCAATGCCTCTCACAACTTTCGTGGAATGAAAATACATAACAAATCATCCCTGTGGGCATGTAGCAACACAGTCCTCCTCCTACTTCCGGAGTTCCTTGTCCAGTCTGCTCTGTGAAGGAGATGGCCAGCTCAATAGCAGTGTTGGGGGTATGCTGTTGCTCAGCTAAGACCTGGGTTGGCCTGTCGCCTCGCCTGCAGTCCGGCTGACTTTCCCCGCTTCTGTTTTCTCTCTCCCAAAAGCCGATGTTTCCTCTGCAGCGGGATGATGAGTCCATTGGTCTTTTTTGTCATTTATTGTCATTACCTTTCTTGCACATCACTTTAATGTCTTTTGAGGTGAGGGGGTTGAACATTTCTGATTACAACTCTAGATGCACCATGAATGTCTGTGGACAAACCAAAATACTGGCTGACAAGATGACTCCCGGTCTGTAGAAGCTTGACAGAAGAGGAACATTCCAGTATGATGATCATTCAAAGCAGATACAGGTACAATGTCGCCTAACTTAAATACCACAGGGGAATTTTTAACACAAGACCTCCAGTAAAAAGCTGAATGTCTCTGAAGAATGGCTAAACATCCCAACAGAAATACCCACCGAGGGTCCCGCTGGAATTTCCACCAAAACAGCTCTATGGCAATGAAGTCCATCTGGTCCAGCTCTCGACACCCTCGCTGCTCCACCAGCCGGGTTGTCGACCACAGCATGTTAGCCCGCCTTGCTCGGTCGGCTAGCACCACCACCAGCTGTGACAACGCCTCGCTCAACTTCGCTCTGCTCAATATCTGCTCACTGACAAGAAAGAGACTTCTCATCCAGGACCTCCTCACCGACCCTAAGATAGATTTTCTTTGTTTAACTGAGACATCGCAACAGCCCAATGCTTTTTCACAGGTGAATGGATCTACTCCTCCTGGGTTTGTTTACACCTGTCAAGCCTGTGGCTCCGTTCACGGAGAAGGTCTTGTGATAATTTACTGCAACAAGTGGAAAGTCTTTCCTGTGTCCATCTCCAGCTTATTCGAATCCACTGTCTGTGGGCTGTCTGGTCCCACTCCCACCATCATTGCTACTGTCAACTACCCCCCCTAACCCGAATAGTAACTTTTTAAATGACTTTGCTGCCTTACTCACCCATCTATCCTCTCTCTCACCAAACATAATACTGCTGGGTAATTTCAATATCCACATGGACAATACCAATCTCCCTCTCATCAAAGACTTCATGTCCTGTAAAGAGAGTTTTCGATATCGGCAGCATACCACTATTCCCACACACTCCAAAGGACATGTTTTGGACTTCATCTGTTGTTCTGGTGTCACCCCTCTGGACTTCACAGCTGATGAACTCCCCATAACTGACCACTTTCTCTTCTCATTTACAGTCAAACTCACTCTCTCCATCACCAAGACACCACGTCTCATCTCATTCCACAATACAAAGATTATCAACCCTGTCACTCTCACTTCAAGTATTGACCACCTGATTGACTTCCACAATCTATCCATCTCCGATGAACTGGCTTCTCATTATAACACTGGACTCCATAATATTCTCAATTCTCTCACTCCATTAAAAACCAGATCTGTTTCTTTCTCCATCTCTGCCCCTTGATTCACCCCTAATCATGAAAGCCAAACTTGAGCAACTTTACAGAAAAACTGGTCTCACAATTTATAAAGAAATGCACAATAATCACATCATATATTATAAGAACTCCATTGCCAACACCAAAAACCCACTACTACTCTGGTATAATCTCTACAAATGAAGGAAACATCAAGACACTGATCTCCCTACTTAACACGATCACCCAACCCCAGGATTAAATCATGCCATCAATGCAAGAAAAATAATAAACACTGATTAATATTAGAGATTGACTTTTATTGCATATTCAAGTCCTGTAACATAAAAATAACACAAAACTAAAACAACCCCTGACAGAGGAGCAAAACCTCACATTTCAAATAAAATTGGGGATATTACAGAGTCGCCCATAAAAACATCTAAAACAAGACAACAGCCTGATTTATGGAGAAATGTGGTGTAAAATTAGTTTGTGTTAAAATATTCTGTTGAATAACAGAAGAGTGTGATTTCTGTCTCAGTAGTTGAAGTTTTCAACACAGGCAGTAATGTAAGGCTTGAAAACTCCATCCAGTTGATTTTAGTGTGCACCACAGATCAAGATCCAGTAGCCAAACCAGCGACTTCCACCTTTGTCGTAAAACAAAGCTGTTGATTTGTACACACATTTTCTCATATAGTTTACTTTGTCAAGAGAAGAGGTTTCTCCTTTAGTCGGCCTTCAGGGCAAAGAGGACATCGTCCTGGCTAACATTGAGGCGGATGCGCTGCAGGACTCCCAGGCGGCTGGGCTCCAGCAGCAGCAACCTGCAGGCTCCTAGACGCTGACACACTGCCAGGCCCTCCGACACACTGATGGGCTGTAGACCCTCCACCCGACACAGAGCCTGGTGCTGCACAAAAACCTGGCAGACCAAACACACAAAATACAAGGACCTCATAGGTTAATCACATACAGACCATTTATAAAATAATGACATGTTCCTTCAATTCAAGACTTAACATTCACTAAGGCCTTTTTGTGAGGATAAAGTTTTAATAAAACCTTCCAAGCCCCTGCAGAGACTGTCACTGCTGATGTGATTGAGTAGTCCAGGATGTGAAACACAGTGTTGACTATAAATACAATACTGAGCACAAAGAGCCATCTGTGTGCACATACACACTTATCAGTTTGCAGATGTGTACTTACCCTGCTCATATACTAACAAGTAGAATTATCTTAAAATGACTAAATGCTGTTATTCAAACACATCCTCAAAATTTGAAAATATAACATTAACTTAGCGTAAAGAATGAAAAACTCCTTTAAGGAAAAAAGTGAAAAAAAATGCTGATTAAATACAACTAACAGAAATGAAAAATAAGTCATCTTTTGATGTAGACTTAAAATTAACAGAAAGTTTGAGGATTTAGAAACATTTTAAAACGCCAGGGATTCTAACATGCTACATGAAGAGGAAATATTTCATTTTTATTTACTCCATTTCTCGGTCATCAAGCAAAATTATGAGATTAGTGCCATTGATCATATTAACTCCTTTCTAAGACGTGAGTTTCTGGACTTGTATCCTTCCACTGAAGCAGCATTCAAATGGCAATTTCTGCGTCAATATCTCCATTTCTAGAGAAAGCTCAACTATGATCAGACTTTTCTCTCATTATAATCTGACTGTTGTTGTAAATTGTGATTATATTTTAAATGTGATGCAGAATCTTTTCAAAAAAACTCCTGTCATATCATTTCTCTTTATCTGTCCACCTACATTAGAGTTCCTCTCTGACTTAATCACATTTAATGCATTTAAGTGGTTTTCTAATATTTGTATATTTTGGAAATAATGTTTCTGATGTTCACGTTATAATTTCTAATGATTAATGATGTTAGTGGATGCTGGTCTTAGCTGCTATCTCCATCATAGACAATTATTTACATAATATTGAAGTTGTAGCTATTTATAAACTGTCACTTGAGAAATTTAGTTAATACAGCTTCAAAGGAGTTTTGAGATCCCTAGATCATTAGTATTTGTAGCCCACTGGGCCTTCTTATTTGATTTGAAGTGTCCATTTTTTACATTTTCTTCGTATGTTTATTTGAGCTTCACCTGTTGGAAAGTGGCCTCTTCCAATCCCAGTCGCCGAAACTCTGCGATGACGGCCCTGAGGAAGAGCTGCTCCTGCATCGACGCACACCTGAAACACATGCGGCATTTTATACCGTTACAGCTACTAATGTGTACCACTACAAATCCACCAATGTTTCATGAATGCAGTGACAGCAGGACTCTTACTTGATGGCAGTGATGTAGGCAGAGGAAAACATCTCATTCAGTGCGTCCATCACATGATTCATTCCTACCAATCCTGTGGCAGAAGGATTGGTGGCTGAGTGCTCACAGATCTCTGTTGCCCGGCGACAGATGTCCAAACATCTCCGAGCATCACCTGACAGAGCAGCCACCTGCCAGAGAAGAGGGACACAGAAATGTGTGACCTTCGAGTGTACAGGTATGTGAGTGAGTTCATAACAAGTGAGGTACTGTGAAAGATGTCCAGCTTATCTACCTTTCTGGACACCAGCTGCAGGGCATCCTCCTCAAAGGCTTTCACCTTGTTCAGCCTGGACATGATGATCTGCTGCAGCTGCTTGAAGCTGTACGGTTGGAATGACATCCTGGTCAAGCCCTAGAAACATTGACACAACAGCTAAGCTTTGTGTAGCAGCATTTTAACCATCAGGATTTTATTTTTTTTAAATGTACAAAAACGCATCTACAGGGCATCTGGAAAGTATTCACAGCGCTTCACTTTTACCACATTTTGTTATGTTATGACCTTATTCTAAAATGGATTCAATTCATTTTTCCCCTTAAAATTCTACACAAAATACATCATTATGACAACTTGAAAAAAGTTTTTTTTTTTTTTTGAACTGTGGTAAAAGTGAAGCGCTGTGAATACTTTCCGGATGCCCTGTATTTCAGTCGGCATTCTCCCTTCGTCCACTGTCTGTGTGCTACCGTTTCCTTCACCTTTGGAAACAAACTACCACACTAAAAATGTAACTACAAGTGTTGCAGAGAATTTGTATCCTGCAGTGAGGCAGCGCTGCTAGTCTTATTTTGATCGTGGACTATCCATTGAAATCCCAATGCTTGTCTCCCTGCATGCAAATGGCCACCACGTTGAGTGAATACCAAAGCGGTATTCTTCACTTCGCACCTCCCAGGACGACTGTGACTGGTTTAAAGACATACAGGCAAAACAGAGTGTAATCAATAAAAATCAACAATTTAGGACTTTGCCAGAGTGGCAGGTACCTAAAGGCCAACTCTACCGTAATTTCCGGACTAAAAGCTGCTACTTTTTTCACATGCTTTGAACACTGCGGCTTAAACAATAATGCGGCTAATTTATGGATTTTTATGATTTTTACGAATTTTCCTCGAGACAAAGCGACATTGACAGCGACAACGAAAGAGAGACTGCGGAAGCGTGTGACAAAGTAATTCTGAGGCTGTTCAATTCCGACACTGAAGAAGACGACTTCAGTGGTTTCAGTGCGCAGGAGGAAGATGAAGATAACGATCAATGGCTTTTCCTGATAGGCTACTGTATTTTATTTATTTTTTATTTTTTTTGAACCAGCTGTGTTACAGGCACTGTTTAGAAAAAAGCATTTACAGTCTTTATTTGCGTATGTTACCGGTACGTATTTAATTAAAAGTTTGAAAAAATCTTTCTCAGGTTACAATGTGGACACCTGCGGCTTATAGACAAGCGCGGCTTATATATGAACACATTTTTTTATTTTTAAAGTTAGTGGGTGTGGCTTATATTCAGGTATGCTCAATAGTCCAAAAATTCTGGTAGTTTCTTTCATTGTATTTCCCATTAAGGTGTCTTTTGTGTGTGTACGGGTCATGCTGAGTTTACACTCTTCACTTCCATTGTAGAAATTCACTCAACATCAGAGCAGTAACTGTGAGGTCCACAACTCTCCAAAAAAATAAAAAAAACTACCACATAGGCACCAATGCTTGGATTTGCTGCATGCCACTCTCCTTCTCTGTGGTTCCAGAATTGTTTGTCTCTCATCTGTCAGTAAAGGCACAAAACCTCCTAAAAAAATGTATTTAAAAAACACTTTTCATAAAAAAAACAAAACAGTTTATTGGAAAGCTGTAAAAAAACAAACAAACAAAAAAAACAAAGATCTTGTGCTTTTGACCCAGTCATGCAGTTTTGCACACTCCTTCTTTCCCTGAATCTCAAACAGAGGTATACAGTGCCAAGATGTAGCTTGTCCCACAGACAAACAATAGACATATAAATGGGAAATACAGCAGGTTGAAATAAGAATACACTTTCATGTACATTCACTTATTTGCTGGCACAAGATCCATAGTCAGAAACCCATAATTACAATTACCCTGTTCTTGACAGGCCTGGAGTTTTGATAACAATCAAGCCACAGCCATCTATCCAGGGGAAAACTGTGTACCACTGTGGGGTAGTGCCATTATTAAATCCAGTTTTTAAATGAATCATGCACTTCTCTGTAAGAAGCAATAATTTAGATGAATGACAGAACAACAGTTAAAGTGTAAGCTGAGATGGTATTTTTTTACTGGGCCAGAACACAGTGTTGGCATGAAGATTCTCACCAGTCTGCTCGCCACTCTGTTGATCATGATCCTTTCTGGCAGATCCATGGTGTTGGCGATAGTCAGCACCACCAGGCGGGCGTGGCGTTGCGTTGGCCAGTTGAAGAGATTGTACATCACATTCTGCTTCCTTGTCCACAATAGGTCTAACTACAAGAATCCAAAACACAAAGAACCTGACAATTACTGTGTTGTCGCAACTCTGAGTTACAAAAGACTGAGCTGTATGTTCAAGTTGGATCGCCCTCTCTCTCTGTAAGGCTCTTAATTTATTTCATTTATTTATAAGGCTCTCACTAGTTTTTTTTACCACCTTACATCACCTCACTAACGTCCTTTATTGCAGGCCTCCAACATACACAATTAAATGACTGGATTACGCTGCAGTTGTCAGCTGTTTTTACCTATCTCTGAAAATTATGTTTTACACACTGCTCTTGCAACATGGAATAACTTGCAAAACAATCTAAAGCTTGACTCATTTTTAACCTGTGAGCACTTCAAGTTTTTCATTTCATCCTGTTAAACTTCCAGCTGCTCTTGTTTTTGTTCATTTGTTTGTTTTTAAACTTAAATTTATTAAATAACGTTTGTATTTTACTAAATTTTACCTTTTAAAATTTTATTGTTATCCAATTACATTTGTGTGCCAACATCTTTTGTTCTCTTACTTGGCTACATTGTAAATGAGGCCTTCATACCTCAATGTACTGAGTGTTTAATTAATACTTGAAAAAATAATTCTGCCTAATATTTGGGTTTCTCTGTATCATCTCTGCATATCAGATGTACTGACCAAAATAATAGTCATTACAATAGTTTTAAAGGCTTGTGGCTGCTTTCTTTCTGATCTGTGTGGTGAGTTGTTCAATGCAATTCCTCTTAGACACTTCTAATGAATTAAATTAGGTTTGAATTAAAAGTGACACCTTTAAATGTTTTCATTCTGTTTCTGTAAGGGGCAATATTTCAGTGTTTTTAGTACGTTTTCATAATATAATTTATGGTAAATAAATAGGAGTTCTCACTTCGTCCACCAGGAGTACGGTGGTCTCCTTCCTGGGTGCTGGGTTGGTGAATCTCTTCTCCAGCAGTGCTGCTGCGTGGTCAGCTGTGGCTTTCTGACCTGTCAGATTCTGCCAAGATGAGAACATTCAGTCAGACAGTGCAACCACCAACATGTCAATTTAACAAGAGAGCATCTACACTGTGAAAACAGTGTGTGTAAATTAGAATCTGCAGCTCTGTTTGGTTTTAGTGAGCTCTATAGTGATTCTCAGGTCACTGGATAGCTGTTCAGCTACAACCTTAACTGACTCAGTCTCAGTGCTCTCATAACCTCATTTTTATTTGCAGCAAGCCGTTGCTTCCAGTGAAAAGTGCCCAAAAGCCACTGTGCAATACCTGCTCACCAGTAAACACCTTAAAGACACAGCGTGAAGGTAGTGCAACATTTAACAGCTAAAAAGCCAGATATGTCCCTCAGAAGCAGGTGGACAAAAACTACAGTTTAAACTAGACTAAAATTCATAAGATGGCCTGCAGATGAACAATTGTGTTGCTGGATGTGGAAATAAAGAATTGCTGGCCAACAAGTACAACCTATCAACATAACACATTGTAAGTTATTGCATTTTAAAGAAACAGTAAGGCATTTTCCCCTAAAGTCAGAGATCCATCAAAAAAAAAAGGCTATCTCACAGAATGTGAACTTTACTACAGTATTTCTATTAATCCAGTGGACTGACAAGGGACAGACAGAGCAGGTGTCAAGATATTTGGATGTTTAATTTCTGACATGGATCAAACTCAAACACCCTGGTTCTGACATTTCCAATAATTTAACTGAAAAGAGTTCAGAATCTAGCTTTATTGTCTAAGAATGAAAACACGTAGAAGACATTTGATTCAGATGTTTTCTTGGTCTCAAAGCACTTACACAAAATAAAACACATGTGCATTGAAACAAGGGCCACAGGTTTAACTCCTAGGTACAGCTTATTAGATCTTGCCTCCTAATTAAGCCACCTCTTTCAAGTACCACACCCAAGCTTGTAACACAGGCTTACTGGTAGAAGTTTGTGGGCAGCAGGCTTAGATTTTCTTTCCTGATTTTAGAGAACTCCTTCAGAGAGGATAAACTGTACTCATATATTGGGCTGTTTAGTTATACTATTATGATACACTGAATAGTACTCTGAGGTAAAATTGTAAAAAAAAAAAATTATTTTAAGTAAAATTAACTTCACTTGTAAAATTGCTGTACCTTTAAATAGCCTTTAGAGGCTTCCTTATACATTAAGTACATATCCATATATCTGCCTGTGTATTTTTTCCCTTTGCGTTTTAACCTCTTGACCCAGCTCTGTCATTTCCAATACGTTTAAAGCAAAAGATTTCCAAATTTCCACGAAAAAATGCCTAACGCATATTGGTTTTGAGTCCTTGAGTACATCCAAAAGTCACTGCCTGTCCTGCATGAAGACAATATTCTCTGCAGTGTAAAGAAAACAGGAATGTCTTGCAATGATGCTGATAAAGCATTCAAATGGATAATGAAATACACAACACAACATATGGATAAGTGTTTGCCCTGTAGGAACTTTTTCATGTCAGTGACATTTGAAACCATATTTTCAAAATAAAACCTAATAGCTATGACCTTTTGATGATAATAATAAAGACAATTAAAGAAATGCATGTAAACATGATTCCTACAGACTGTTAAAAAATCTAATAAGTGAAAAAACAGATTCCCTATCACAATTCTGACTGCTTGCTCAGCTGTTACAAAAACTCTGTTCCCACCTGCAGGATCTGAACGTAGGCTTGGTGAGGGTCCGTCATCTTCATCCCGTTGATCTCAATGAAGTGGAAAGTTGGGATCTCGTCCACATCTGCTGCGTGCTGCAGACAGCGCATCACCTCATGGACTGTGGCAGTCTTTCCTGTTCCAGGCACACCTGAGATATACATGCAACTGAAACAACAAAAACAAAACACAAGATGGACTCAACCATTTCTCCTGTATAAGATCATTAAATACTTCTGTTTTGTAAACCTAGAGTCCTAAGACATATGGAACCTGAAACCCAGTGTCTATTTAGTTGGGAGCCAGTACACTGGTAAAAGTTTTAGTTTTGATCTGGATCTCACCCTCCCGTGCCATCAATGATCTTGCTCTCCACAAAGCTGTAGATGTCCTGAAATTCCTGCTCCCTGCATGGCAGAGACTCTGGCACCGAGGACACATGCAGTCTAAAGAAAAAAAAAATCATTAATACACAACAGGTGTTGAAAGTTCAATTAATTCCGCAGATAATCTGCCTGCACAACAAGAAGTTCTATGTTAAATGCATTATCCCTTGTTAGTTTTCAAAGTTCATGTTCCCTTGTACTTGATACTTTCTTCTCATGTCTGCCAAGGGTTGGTGGGCATCTTTGTATCGGACAGCAAAGTTATTCCCTCTCCTTTGTAATACCTCACTCCATCAGATGCTCATGCATTTTTACTGCTGACTCTGTAGCCAAATTCAGTGACGTTTTACCTTGTCGATCTTTTCCTATTACATCTCCTGAAAATCAGAAAGTTAAAGTCTCCGACTCTCCCCTACATAGTGATAACATTAGATCACTGAAATAGGAGTGCAGAAAACTGGAATGCAAATGGAAGATAATTGTGGAGACCCACAATACTCCCAAGGTAGTCATTGAAAGTCTTTAAACACCTTTCCTGTGAAACAAAAGTTTCATCACTGATTTAAAATAGCTTTTTTGAAGGATTTCAGAAGTAAACAGAAGTTGGCTAGGGTAGGCAACAAGCTTAAACACATGGATCAAGTGTTGGCTTTTTCAATCACTGGTCAGTGTTCACTGGCTGACTTTAAGATTTCACAGTGTTCCAAATCACAAGGACTTAATAACCCCTTATGCGCCAGGGTGTTCTCTTCCACCAGCGAATAGGGCTCTGCTCTACTAGACCAATGAGATAGGCCTTGGTCTTGAAAGCTCCAAAACCATGGAACAGCCCACAAACAACAAAACTGTTTAGACAGTCAAAATCCTTAGTGTCCTTTAAAATTTCTTTTTAAGAGTTTGATATGTGGTTGTGTTATCCCCTTTTGACCATTCTTATTTTGGTACACCTGTATTTTTTCTGTCTTATGATCTCTGATGGGCTGCAAGTTGGCGCAGTTGGTAGCACTGTTGCTTTTATGCTACAGGACATTTATTAAAAAAAAGCAAAAAGTACATTTTTTAGAAGCCAGAATGTGAAACTTCAGCTTAGGTCAGGGGGCCAAATGCTCTTGCTGAAAGGTCAGATTTGCCCACAAGCTGCTGTTTGTTTCAACCTTAGATTAAAGTTTAGAAAATGTATATATCTCTGAAATCAATTTGGTATTGTGGGAAACACTTCACACATACCCAAGCTAATTTGAAACTATCATCAGTACTAGGTGTTGAGTTCAGCAGCTCTGATGATAACCTGGCCCTTGTAGATCACAATGAGAGGTCAGGGACTGTTGTGTTTGAAATGGACTCACCTGGCTCTGGCCTCTTCCAGGACATTAGCAGGCTGTCGGGCCGGCAATGACCTGCTGGGGATGGTGGGCGTGGCATGACGAGCGGTTTGTGGCGTGCCAGGTATGATCTGTTGAAACGGAAGTCATGAGGTATGTAAATGATGACCAGATGTCTGGCTGTCTATCTCTGTCGGGATTCAAACCTTCTTGCTGGGAGTCTTTCGTGGCCTTCTGATCATAGAGTGGGTCTTCTGCTTTGAGCGAGGAGTGCGAGACAGAGCTGGAGTGTGTCTGCCCTTTTTCACAAATATCTCTTCATCACTATCTAGCCCCTCTTCTTCTCCATCATCTTCATCCTCCTCGCTGCTGCTCTTTAACTCCCTCTTGGATGGAACAAACTCATCCTCATCTTCTCCATCTGAGTTCAAGTCCTGCTGGTTGTCCAGAAGATTCCTGATCAAACAGACATCAAAGCTCAAATACTCTGACAAGACATGAGTATTTTTTTAAATTAATGTTTGACTAATTAAAACAAAGCCAAAACACAGCAACTGAGCTGCCTTTTAATCACATATTTAATTTATTATTCATGTATTCAGGTAGCTTCTTGGTTCATTCACAGTAAAGTCCTCAGAGATTAATCTACTTTTTGTGTACTTGTGTACAACATTCACTGTTGCTAGGCACCATGCTGAGCAGCAGCATCTCTCACTGAACGTTTGGGTTTTTTTCATATTTCTTTTTAACTTATTCGCACTTGTTTTGTTTCTACATTTTTGTCACCCCCGGTCACAATGACTACTTTTTGCACTTTAATGTTTTCTTCAAATTTTCTTGTGGTTACCTTGGTTATTTTTACCATGTATGTATCAGAGAGCTATGCAGAGAGGGGGTAAGACCATTGTTTACACTCGTGAACAGCTGATGGCAATACGACCACTGCTACTACCTACCACGAGCCCCAAACTCCTGGAGGAGCTGCGGAGGAAACGCTGAGTTTGTAAGAAGAAGGGAGGTGGGTTTGCACTGCTTGTGAATGAGAGGTGGTGTAATCCAATGTTCATGTGAGGGAACATGTCTGTGGCTCGGACACAGACATGTGTAATCCAATGTTCATGTGAAGGAACATGTCTGTGGCTCGGACACAGAACTTTTAGCTGTTGGGATGTGCACCTTCTATCTCCCAGGGGAATTCACCTTTGCCATTGCTATTGCTGTTTACATTTCTCCGCCTGCTGATGCGGATGTGGCAACATCCCCTTCATGGTGGCAAAACTTCAGGATCAACATCCAAATGCCTTAATACTCATAACTGGAGATTTTAATCATGTCACGCTGGATAAAACTTTTCACCAGTATGTTGACTTCCCCACAAGAAACATTAGAACACGAGACCTCCTGAATGCAAATAGTAATAATACATAAGTTTTATATAGCGCTTTTTTTTTTTTTTTTTTAAATAAACTCAGAAGTTTTACAAAAAACATACAAACAGAAACAAGGTGGAGAGAAGAGAACGGACAATGAAGTATTGAAGTGTAATAGTAGAGAGTGTGGTCAAGGAGGAAGTGCCAGTTTGAATAGGTGGGTCTTGAGCTGTGATTTGATGTTCTGGAGAGAGTTACTACTTGGCTACTTGGTTCTGACGATGGGGGTCAGGAGGTAGGAATCGGCAGAGCGAAGACGGCGGGGGGGACAGTGATGTCAAAGAAGGTCCATGAGGTAGGAGGGGGCGAGACTGTTGAGGGCTTTAAAGGTGATAAGGAGGAGTTTGAATTGAATGCGATAGCGGACGAGAAGCCAGTGAAGTTTTTGTAGAGCAGGGGTGATGTGGTCACTAGAGCGAGTGCTGGAGAGAAGGCAGGCAGTGGAGTTTTGAATATATTGCAGTTTTTGTAGGTGAGTGGTGGGGAGTCCGTAGAGGATACTATTGCAGTAGTTGAGTCTGGAGGTTATAAAGGTGTGGATAAGAGTTTCGGCAGAGAAGTGAGAGAGGGAGGGGCGGAGACGGGCAATGTTATTAAGATGGAAGAATGAGGTCCTGGCGATGTTATTGATATGGTAAATTATCTGCATTTATATAGCGCTTTTCTACCTTAGTGTTACTCAAAGCTCTCTACAATGTTTCTCATTCACCCATTCACACACTCACTCATACACCAATGGCGACAGAGCTGCCATGCAAGGTGTTTGCCTGCCATTTGGAGCAACTTCGGGTTCAGTGTCTTGCCCAAGGACACTTCAACTGTGGAGGGGTGGGGATCGAACCTCTAACCTTGCAATTAGAGGACAACTGCTCTACCACCTGAGCCACAGCCACAGTGTATGGGATTTAAAGGTGAGGGTGGGGTCCATGATAATACCAAGACTGAAACCTAAGGGGGAGGGGTTAGTGCTGTGACCATTGATGGCGAGGGAAACATCATGAGCGGAGAGAGATTTGGGTCCAATGATCATGAGTTCTGTTTTGTTGCTGTTTAGTTTGAGGAAGTTGTTGTCCATCCAGGTTTTAATGTCAGTTAGGCAGTTTGTGATGGTGGAGAGAATGGCTGGCGTGATAGTTTTGGTAGAAATATAGAGTTGAGTATCATCGGTGTAGCAGTGAAATTGAAGACCATGGCAGCGTATGATATGTCCAAGAGGCAGTATGTAGAGAATAAAAAAGGAGTGGTCCAAGCACCAAGCCTTGAGGGACTCCATGGGGGAGAGGGGTGGTGTGAGAGTTGCGGCTATTGATGGAGATGCAATGGTAGGATTTTAATCAAGAGAGTGTTGTACCAGTAATGCCATAGGATGTCGTTGGTGACTTTGAGAAGAGTCGATGCAGTACTGTGGTGGCTGTGGAAGCAACATTAGAAAGTGCCAAAAAGCTGGCAGGAGTGAAGATGTTGCTGGAGTTGGGTGAAGACCAAGCGTTTTAGTATTTTTGAGAGAAATGAAAGATTGGAGATTGGTCCGAAGTTGTCCAAGACGTCAGGGTGAAGGCAAGGCTTATGCTAGGGATGCATATAGTGCCACAGACCTTCCCCCTCTAGGCAGAGAAGATCACAATCTTGTTTTCTTGTCCTCAAGGTATGCCCTGCTTATTCAGCGCCAGCCTGTTTGCACAAGGACTGTGAGGAGGTGTACTCCTGGGGCGAATGCAGCACTGCAGGACTGCTTTGAGTCTACTGACTGGGATGTGCTCTGTGAACTACATGAGGAGAACATCAACACCATCACTGACTGCATCACAGAACACACACAATTCTGTGAATACTTCACCTTGTCGGCCCAGACTGTACACTGCTTCCCAAACAACAAGCCTTAGATTACCAGTGACCTGAAGGTACTTCTAAACAACAAGAAGAGAACTTTCAGGGCTGGAACCTATCCCAGCCAATTTAGGGCAAAGGGAAGGCAGGTTCACCTGGACAGGTCGCCAGTCTATCGCAGGGCTACACGGCGAGACAGACAACCAAGCACACTCACATTCACACGTACGGACAATTTAGAATCAAAATTAACCTCAGCATGTCTTTGGACTGTGGGAGGAAGCTTGAGAACCCAGAGAGAAGCCATGCTGGCACTGGGAGAACATGCAAACTCCACACAGAAAGAAGCCAGGAAATGAACCCTGGACTGTGAGGTAACAGTGCTAGCCACAGTATCACTGAGCTACTGTGCTGCCTTATAATAACAATATAAATAATAATATAACATGCATTAACTATTAATCAGCTGTTATAAAGGCCAGCATTTAACACTCTGTAAGTCAACTAGTTAATTCCTTTATTGCAATAAATAACTTACTCTGAGAGGAACCCGAGTAAATATTCTGTAGTAAGGTTTAAAAATGATCACACAGCTAATAATGCCAAGCATATATGACGGGCAGAGCACGCAAACTAAAACTGCAGGCGGTCAGATGTCATTATTCACTCACAGTTGTTTCCTAATGCGCGACGACACAAGCAGAGCCGACTTCCTCTGAGAGCTCCGTAGTGCAGCAGCTACCACTGGGGAACTTTCACAGTCGTCCTCAGCTCTGTTCACAAAACATACAAAGAGTAAAAAGTGTAAATGGTGTAACCTGTATTATTTTATATACAGCATAAAAGAAAGCTTTATTATTGACATCATTTTGTGATTGGCTCTTCATCTTATCTTTTACACAGCTGCTCTCAGAGACACCAGTCAGCAGTCAGCACAGCAATTACTAATCACAGTCACATGCTTGTAATCACTGCAGTAACACTGGAGGATTCCACTTTTGTGCAGACAGATAAGGCACCTCCAGTGTTCTGTCAGAGTGTTCCAGCTGTGGTTGTGATTCTGGACAAATTAAAGATTTTTAGAGCCGCCACCTGCTTTAGGAAGTTGTGGCTCCTCCTTCTTTTCCTGCACACATCTGCTAAAGGCCAAGGATTCCCATGACAAGCCTGGAATGTGACCGCTGAGATTTGTCCTCAGTCCTGACTTCTCTTAGAATACTAACTGAACATAATGCTTGTCATGTCACTGTATCTTGCTTCTGTTCTGCATTAAACAAACAGATTTATGAGGATTTACCTACATCTCCAAAACTGTTGTCATCAAATGTATCCAGTATCAAAGATTATGCTGTTTTGAATGAAACATTTAAGCTCCATCATATTGCTATGATAGTAAGTCAGTTTGAACACAAATTGACTTACTAGAATGAATGAGTGAATGAATAGAGCTTTTGAACAGCTTGAATACAACACAACATTTTGCCCGCACTACCTCTGCTGTGACTTACTGTATGTAAAACAAATCAAGGTTATTATTTTAGCAGGAAAGAAGTAACTCTCAGCCTGAACTGACTAGAATTCAATGAACTTGAACTGAAATTATTGAGTTTGGTTTTCTGTGACCTGAATGTGAGATAAAACCCAGTAAATATAAGAGTGTATGTACTCACAGCACACCCAGGGGTGGGTCCTTCATCGATTTTGGCTCTTTCCTTTGGGCAGGGGTGGTAACTCTGTTTAAAGACGTAAAGGTTGAGATGTCATATTTGTTTCAGTTTCACCTTCACCTCCTTGTGCATCTTCAAAACAAAAAAAACACTCTGTCATTTAAAGTCTCATCAGTGATTTATGACTATTATCTGTATATTTTCACTTTTGGGTTAAAATTGGAACACTAAGCTTCATTGGATTTGGAGCTTTACACTTCAAACAACATTAACCCTGCAAAAACAAAAACACAAACCCGCGCAGTTGGGAATTAAGAGGAAAACTTTATTCCTTTATTTCCCTAACACACCACTTTGCTCCAGGACTCCAGCTGAATGGAAAAATGAAGGAGTAGCGACTGGAATATAAACTGGAGATGAGGTGTTATTAGGGGTGTGCATCTCTACCTTAAGAGGGGATCCGATCCGAATCTAGATACTATGGGTTACGATACGATTCACTAACGATATCTTTTAATACATTCTGATGCGATTCGATGCAATGCAGCATGAATCTACTTGTGTGGTGAAAAAAATAGAAAGAGAAATATATCAGGTCAGAAGAATGTCATTGTGTACATTTTTCAAATACACACAGACAACACAGACTGTTACTGTATTAAATATGAGAAAATATTAACATTAACCCCTTCAGTACATTGCAATCCATAAACTTTGCAACCTGAGAGTTAAAATCAATTTCCGGTTCGTATGGGGGAATCTTTACACCCGAGTTGTTATATTTTTGTTTAAGGTCCAATCATTCATTCATTCATTCATTCATTCATTCATTCATTCATTGCTCCTGTACTGAACTTCAGAATCTACTCCTTCATTTGCCAATGATTCTAACACAGTTCTAATATTTCTCAATTTCACCAAGCCGTGTAAACACAGTCTAACAAAGCACTGAGTGTCTGATTCACGGCTGTACCCACGTGTATAGTTTCTCCTTCGAGTGGCGTTTCTTCTCCTCTGCACTTTATCAGTGCCACTTAACAAACTGACCTCCATTTCATTGACCTGCTGATGCCTGGAAGAGGGATTGGTGTGTTTGTGGCTTCATGCAAGTTACGCCTGCTTACAAACCAATAGGCTACACTAGTTTATTTCTGGGTTTATCGAGTAAAACATGTTTAAACATCTTAATGCTCGGGTTTTAATCAGATTTTGTTTATAGTTAAAGCCATCAACAAAAGCGGTTCAACATATTAAATGGCCATTTAATCAGTATTTATACGATCTTACAAGCTTGAGCAAACATTACACATTAAACCAAAGTTTAACGAATAAGACTGGTGATAGCAATGAGCATCTTATGTTGAACGCTGCTTTAAATTAACCTCCTAACTTGTAAGGATTTATTGCACTGTGAGGTATATTGTATAAACTGCTTGGTGTGTTTTAAAAGAGGTGAATGAATGCTGTGGCAGTATGTGAGCATTGACTCTGACCTGGTGGAACTGTCCCTGGCAGATAACGAAGGTCTGTTCATCTTCGAGGGGGACAGCTTGTCAACAACGATGGCAGAAGGCTTCAGGTGGATGGTGCCCTGAGCGGCGAGGCTTCTGTGGGCCTTGTTAATGGGCGTGAGCCTGTGGGTGAGGGGGCGAGGCTGAGGGGGAGACGATGAAAGCCTGTGATCCAGCATCACCTTTGAATCCCGCTCCTCATCCAGAAGCTGGCTTTTGACGTCCTCATCTATCATCGACTTCTTTTCTGGACCTGGCAAAGACAAAAAAACACTTTTTAAAAACATATTCTGTTGATTTTTAAGCAGTAACACCTGGCCTTTTTCAGTTTAAACAACTGAAATATAATAATATTCTCATGCATATATATTAAGACATGCAAAAACAGACCCAACAAAATACAAAAATAGAAAACGTTTTTTTGTGTTTTAAAAGCCTGTCTCAAACACTCACTGTTGAGCTCCAGTTTCTTGCGGACTCCAGGCATCCTGGCCGCCGAGTTCCTCCTCTTGGCACTGAGGCATTTTGAAGCAGACAGTTTGGTGGCCGAGTGAAGTGACTCCACAGCACTGGCTTTACCTGTACTCATGGTGGCCATGCTGTAACTCACCTCCCCCAGTGACGCTCTGCACATGACAGCAGGGTCTGGAGTGGGCAGGGCCCGTCGAGAAGAGCCTCTGGAGGCAGGGGTGGCTGTAAGTGGGGAGCAGGGGGGTGAGGGGGGGAGGGAGGGTGTTGCATGGGGAACAAGGGAGGAAGCTGAAGCAGGTTCAGCCACCACCCTGAAGGCCTTGGAGTCCCAGGACAGCTTGACGTACAAAGTGTCTTTGTCATCAGAGTTGGGGAACGGAGCAGCGGCATCCAGGTGTTTCACCTGGGAGGGTAAAGGAGAGGGATCTCAAGGGGCCATTCATCCTAAAACATAATTATTTCTTTTTTAAACACTTTTAGATTTAATCATACAATCTCATTGAACAATTTTACCTTAAATACCCCTTTCCACCAAGAAGAACTGGGTGCTCGTTCATTGCTGGTGCTAGTGCCAGTGATTAGCTGGTTCAAATCTCGCACCTCCTGAGAACCTGTTTGCTTGTCCATTGGCAAGGACTCCAGACTAACTTTTTCACTGGTACTTTCCCCCTTGTCACAGGCAAAACATATGACTCACTGAACATTTTCTTATCGATAGACTCTACAATTTACCAATGTTCCCTGAACGCCTCACATAGGCTGCAGTAGCTGTTGTTGGTGGCTGCGGTGCTCAGACCGGTGTGCGACCAAAAATGACTTTAAAAAGAGTAAACTAGGGTGTTCTAATGTCAGATTTGTTTTACTATAATATTCGGAGATCAAAATTGATATCCCAATTCCAGCACAGCAAATGAATAGTTGGCTATTCGGGCCCAACCCTAGATGAAACAGAGTGATTTCTTTTCCAGTGAGGTCTTTTCTATGAGCAGAAAAACAGTGCATGTAGGTGCGCTCCGTTTAAGACTGCATTTCTAAGCGTAAATCCAGCAGTACACCGAAGTTAGAAAAGTGCTATTTTCCCACCACTGTGGTGCTACTGGTATGACAACTGTACTGGATTTCAGAGCGCATCAGTTTGTGCAAAACGTCCTGAGAGTCATTCCAATACATCTGCGATTGGACCAGGATGTCCTGCCCAAAACTGACACAAATTACCACTTGTCCCATTCTGTGTTCCCATCGGTCTCGTTGGTCACAATAACCCCGCCCCCAGCCCCTGACACACTCGGTTCTTAGCTCTGGCCCAGCAAAGAGTTGGTGCTTGCTAAGCACCAGTTTTGAGAACCTGGAGCCGGTGCTTAGGTGGTGAAAGCACAAAGAACTGGTGCTATGTCAGGCTCTGGCTCCGAACTAGCACTGGAAGCAGCTTGGTGGAAATGGGGTGTAAGAGGCGCTTATCTACGGTGGCCAACAGGGGGCAAATGACGTCCATATACACAAACGTGCTGCATATACATGAATGCGTTGCACAAACAGAAACGCGTTGCAAAAAGAAAACGCTGCATACACAGACGCGCTGCATAAATAGTGCTTTAAGTGAAAAATGAGCCTGAGCCAGAACTTTTTAGCTTTTGGGTGGAGGTACAATCTCTGTAATTAGCAAGATATTAAGATATCTGACTTCAAACTCAGACTACAGATTATAGTGGTACCCAAAAAGGTCAGTAGGTCGTGGTAGGTACTCCATCTGACTACAACATGGTGCAAATATATTGTTTAGCAACCAGTCAGTAAAAGACGTGGAAAAAGGATGTTGATACACCTTTTAACAATATGTGCACCATTTGTACTATTTATTACCTCCGCCAAGGAGGATATGTTTTAGCCGGCATTTATCTGTTTGTTTGTTAGCAAGATAACTCGAAAAGTTATGAATGGATTTTCATGAAATTTTCAAGAAATCTCTTGCAATTTTTGCACCATGTGTTTTCTGTTTTTCTGTTTCTGTTTCTTTCCTACATTTTGCACTGGGTTTCCCAATTATTCTTGCACTGACTGTACACTTTTTTTGGAGCTCTTGTAACAGTGAACTTTCCCCACTGTGGGATCAATAAAGTTATCTTTATCTTTAATGGCACAATGCACAGATGATTAAATTTTGATGACGTTCTGGCTAACCATCTGGTTGTTGTTTCATAAAACAGTAAATGCTGTTATGTGTCACAGTTATGCAGAATGCTGTCGTTGTGCCGTTTGTCCACTAGATGGAGCTCTGACTCCATTCAGTCCATCAGTCCTCACCGCTGTCTTCTCAGTAGTACAGGAGGAAGCTGCAGCCAGGCAACATTACAGGAGTGGGCTGAGCAGAGCTACTGACAGATAAGTTCATAACCACGATGTCACATTAATAACGACTCTACATGTCTCCTGTTTCACTTTAACTCTTTTTGCCATGTGTCATGACGAATGATGTGTGCTTCACTGCGTCGGTCATGCTTTTCATTTACGTTGCATTGCTAAAGTTGTGCTAACCTAGCTTAAGTTACTCCCTGTCTATTTAAGTTAGCAATAACATCGCTGTAGTTATGCCAACCAAGCATAGCGTTAGCTAACAACAACCAGTAAGATCATTGTTGCCCCTCTCCTCTTCTTGAGAATTTTCAGTGGTGCTGCATCAACAAAGCTTCCAAGATAATCAAAGGTCCTCACTACTCATCCTACCATTTGCTTTCCCTCCTGCCTTTAGGTAAGAGGTATAGAAGCAACTCTGCCATATCCAGCAGAACGCTAACAGCTTTTACCCACAAGCTTTCAGGATTATCGATAGACTGTGTCCTCTCCCACCAGCATACCAGAACACACCTTCTCACCCTCTAATCCTCCTATTAGCACGGTCACCTGAAATGGACTAAACTACGCAGTCCCTACAAGCACCACAGTAAACTCAGACAGTATGCACTTTAATACCAATTACACTGCACTGCTTTTCTAACCTATATTTATTAGGAGAATTTTTATTGTCATTTATTTCTATTAATGTTATCATTTGTATTGTACGGGGACTGGGAGAGCAGCCTTTTGTGTTTTATGTACGGAAGTACACAAGAAATTACAAACTAATCTTGAATGTTTCAATAATTAAAGACTGTTCCATGAAATTCAATTTGAAAAACATTGTAGCATTGCAATTAATGATTGTTATTTAACTTGTCAGTTGTGTAAATAGGTCAATTAGCTGTGCCTATCCTACACCCCAGACTACTTGAAAATTACTTTTTTTGACTGTAAAAACATTCAGAAGGAACATGTAGTCATTTGGATTGAAAAATGGGTGAAATGTTTGATTAAAAACACATCCAACTTTGGTATCTTCTTTGTGGGTCTGTCTTTCATTGCTCCTAATATAATAAACATATTCAAGCTTACATAATTTATCAGGCCAGCACTCCAGACTGCAAGCATTTTGATCAAAAATCTGTCAACTGTTAATCAGCATTTTCATTGGTTGCACTGATACGCCTGACATTTACAAAGGTCCCTCTCTGTGTGTAGTGTTATTTCTTTCAGATTCTGCATTACACCACACACTAACAGTGAATAAAAGGTTATTTTAAGAGGTTACAGAATGCACATTTCTGAATTCAATACTCTTCATCATTAGATATTGTTGTGCACATTTTGCATCCATGTATGTACATTAAAGGGACAAGCTTCTGCATTAGCAAAGCAGAACAAAATTAAAAGAAAGAAAGAACTTTGGGGCATCTGCATGTGATAGTCACCTGCACAGGTTGGAGGATAGACTCGACGTTGACCTCGTCGTCACAGCTGCGACCCTGATAGTAGAAAACCTCCTGTGGATGAGGCTCCCTGCCAAGCAGCTTCAGTTTGCTCAAAGGCACTTCAGACACCCGTACGAACCACTGAACGAGTGCCTTCATCTTCCCGCTCTCTAAACACACAACAGAAGACAAGGCATATGTGATGTCTGAGTCACAAGTCTAACAAATCTTTGGTCATGTAAAACATGTCTTGAGGCATCCTGAGCCTGACTGGATGTTGGATGTTCCAGGCAGCACGCAAGTGTGGGACTGTTTGCATTCGTTGTGTTTTTTTCACTCATTTCTTTGGGTTTGTATCTTGGGTTTGTCACCCATCTGTGTGTTTATATTTAATTGCTTTAATTTTAATTGGTTAATTTAAACTTGTTCTCTATCATTTACATAGATGTACTTACCTCCAGATGGAGTAGATTTGTGAACATCCATACAACACATTCCTGCGCAATCACATGTAAAACTCCCTGTACACTTATTTTTGTGTCACCAGTATTAAATATCATTTTCATACATCAGTTTTGGATTCTAGTGGTAATAGCCTTTATTTTGGGGTAATAACATATCAGTTCCTGAATTCCCTATAACTGATCATAACTCACCATCACCAAATAGCCTGACGACTTTAGCCACATATGGGTTGTCTTCATCGTCCCCCTCTATGAGAATGTGTTGCCCAGGAATAATGATGGTAGTCCTTGGGAGACCCTCCACACTGATGGCCAAGGAGCTGACACACAATAAACAAACACTGTCAATCATGTAGGCAAAAGCTGGAGTTTCAGAATGAAACTGCAGTGATCAAATATGTCACAACAGGTTTATTTGTAATCTATCAATCAATTTCAGTGTGGTAGGTAACTGCAGGTACTGAGGTTGTTGTTTTTGTATCCCATTATGAAGAAAACAGCAGCACGCAGACAGCGGACATAAGGTTCATCAGTACTGAGGGCTGCAGACCTATTCAGACTCAAAAACTATACAAGACGAAGGATTTCTTATACCAGCACAGACTTTGTTTATAACACATGTTTAATACTTCTCAGTAATGGTTCCATATATCATCTACTGTTTGGAAACATTGGCAAATGTGTACAAAATCCAGTTTACCTATCCAGCTTCCATATTATAAAAAAGATGTATGAATTATTTCTGCAGCTAATCTACATCCAAACTACAGACCATAAAATGTGATGATGTAGGTTAGACAGGATTGAGGAAACAATGCGGAAAGTGCATAAAAATGTGTTACCATGTAATATTCTAGACATGTTTGTAAAAAATGGAATAAAAATATTAACTTAAAGGATTATTTAGGCTCAAAATATTAACGACTATTTCAAAAATAAATGCGTTTCAAAAAAGGGCTCAAATTATGAATCAAAAATGTTAAATTAAATTTTAAAGAGCGTTAAAAAGTAACGTGACTCGTTAGTTACCCTAAAGGTGTGTGTTAGGCTATAACAAAAAGTATTCACATCAAAGTCAAAGTGCCTGTTGAAGCAGTTAATTACTTTGGTAATATTTAAAAATCAAACAATTGTTTTGTTTTTAAATGTGGCTGTATTGGTTTAACTTTATCACTGGCATTATGCTTTTAGTTCATTGGAGTGCTTGTTCATGCTTTTGTTTTGAAGGAATTGGGCAGCTTTGGCACACTGAAGGCTCATCTCATTTCACTTAACTCAGTCTCCTAGTCTCCTCCATCCTCCTGCCTGTGACCTGCAAATCAACCTTGGCGTGTCACTATCAACAATATCCTCATTCCTACAATTCTGTTACGCACTCGTAAGCGCGACACACAACTGGAATATACAAACCACGTCCGGTGCAAGACTTACAAATGTGTGTATATAATATATATCACTCTATCACAATTAGTCAGTCATTTTATTTGTATAGTAATAGTTTGTGTGTCGAACCTCTTTCATAACTCAGCGCATGTGTGTGTGGTAAACATCAAGTGACATTCATACATTCTTGTACTCTTAGTATTAGTAACATGGAGATGAACGGGTGTGCAGATGCGAGAAGGGAGACGCATCTAAATCCGAAACTCTGAACATAACCTGCTCCCGACCAGGTTAGCTCCACAGCATCAGTTATCATGGAGATCTAGCCACCTTCACGGCACTGAAAACCTGCTAACCCACTAATCTGGCTTCGTAGTACAGCCCTGGTCGTCTGGTGGCCAGCCACAGTGTGTTTGGTGTATGTGGAGATCAAGACTCAATGGGTACTCGTCATTATAACTTTTTTCTTTCAGTGTTTTGTCTTAATTTTACAAATTTGTAGACGAAAATCAAAAAACTTAGTGGAGAACTGGCAACAGAATTGCTGACACTTTCGCTTAAATCATTTAATCATGCTGAAATGATTCAGCAAAGATGACTGATTCAACAGTTTGCTACTCTGTAATCTATTAAAGACAGAATGAATCTTTTAGACTCTCATCTAAGGAAAATGTATGTTTTCTTTATTAAACTTAACTTTACCTCTAAAAAAAAAATCAACGGTGGGAGGAAGACAGAGATACTCACCCGTAATCGTAGGTTTTTAGCTTCCTATTGAAACCGAGAGGCTGTCCACGCCACTTGTACTCTCGTCTGACCCTCGGTCTGGTGAAATATTTCATCTTGTTTCCTCCCTGTCTCTTCTACGAGTTCGGTAAATAAAAAGACACCTTTGAGATGATCTGCGCGTTATATCTGCTTTAACTGACAGTCAGTTTCAAACGAAGATACAAATAGTCAGCGGGCGAGACACAGCGAGAACATTTCGCGCGAAAATTTCGACACTTCCGTTGGTTTCTTCTTCTGATGAAATTTTTGGCAGACAAGACTGAGCAGGGGCGGACTGCTGCCCTCCACAGGTCAACCAAAGATATATATAATAAAGGCCTTTATTATATATATCTATGAGCAGAACTCTATTCACAAAGTCCAGAATGATTCAGCAAAGGTGACTGATTCAACAGTTCCCGTTTGCTATTATATATATGTATACACACGTATATACGTATATATATATAGTACAGACCAAAAGTTTGGACACACCTCATTCAAAGAGTTTCCTTTCTTTTCATGACTATTGACATTGTAGATTCACACTGAAGGCATCAAAACTATGAATTAACACACGTGGAAATATGTACTTAACAAAAAAGTATGAAACAACTGAAATATGTCTTATATTCTAGTTTCTTCAAAGTAGCCACCTTGTGCTGTGATTACTGCTTTGCACACACTCTGCATTCTCTTGATGAGCTTCAAGAGGCAGTCACCTGAAATGGTTTTCACTTCACAGGTGTGCCCTGTCAGGTTTAATAAGTGGGATTTCTTGCCTTATAAATGGGGTTGGGACCATCAGTTGTGTTGTGCAGAAGTCAGGTGGATACACAGCTGATAGTCCTACTGAACAGACTGTTAGAATTTGTATTGTGGCAAGAAAAAAGCAGCTAAGTAAAGAAAAACGAGTGGCCATCATTACTTTAAGAAATGAAGGTCAGTCAGTCCGAAAAATTGGGAAAACTTTGAAAGTGTCCCCAAGTGCAGTCGCAAAAACCATCAAGCGCTACAAAGAAACTGGCTCACATGAGGACCGCCCCTGGAAAGGAAGACCAAGAGTCACCTCTGCTGTGGAGGATATGTTCATCCGAGTCACCAGCCTCAGAAATCGCAGGTTAACAGCAGCTCAGATTAGAGACCATGTCAATGCCACACAGAGTTCTAGCAGCAGACACATCTCCAGAACAACTGTTAAGAGGAGACTGTGTGAATCAGGCCTTCAGGGTAGAATAGCTGCTAGGAAACCACTGCTAAGGTCAGGCAACAAGCAGAAGAGACTTGTTTGGGCTAAAGAACACAAGGAATGGACATTAGACCAGTGGAAATCTGTGCTTTGGTCTGATGAGTCCAAATTTGAGATCTTTGGTTCCAACCACCGTGTCTTTGTGTGACACGGATGGACTCTACATGCCTGGTTCCCACCGTGAAGCATGGAGGAGGAGGTGTGATGGTGTGGGGGTGCTTTACTGGTGACACTGTTGGGGATTTATTCAAAACTGAAGGCATACTGACCCAGCATGGCTACCACAGCATCTTGCAG